CTGGGGTTGCGGCGCTCATCTTGCTTTATTGGCTGAGGGAGCCGGCATACAGCTTCCGGGTCATGTGGCCAGCATGACTAAGCCGCTTCTGGCGAACCAGAGCAGCACACGGAAACGCCGTTTACCTTCCCGCCGGAGCGGTGCCTATTTATTTACTTGCACTTTGACTTGCTTTCGAACAGCTAGGTTGGCAGGAGCAGGGACCGAGCAACGGGAGCTCACCCCGTCGCGGGGATTCGAACCGCTGACCTTCTGATCAGCAAGCCTAGGCTCTGTGGTTTAACCCACAGTGCCACCCGTGTCCCTGTTCTGGGAGTACTGCTTGGTTAAAATTCCAATTCCTTCTGTTTCGTTTGCAATGTCACCTTGACTGAGAACATGTTGTGTGTGTAGGGATCTCTGCATCAGACCCCCTGGGGACGACGACAGAGCAGCTTGCTTGCTTGCAGGAGGTCTCAGGTTGATCTTCAATCAAGAAACATCTCAAGAGCTTGGAAAGAGATCCTGAATGCTTGCCAGCTGGCCAATAGCTTGATTCTGCATGAGGCAGATTCCTATCTTACCATAACCCCCCAGGCATACCCTGGCTGTATGATTATAAATATGTATGTATGTCTTCTTCTTTGGTGATCACTCATAGCTGAGTAAGATTGTCTTCCATAAACACGGTTTTAACAGTGAGCCTGTAAGTGACTGTGGAGGCCAATTCTGGATCCACACATCCTTCCAACATTGGTTTCCGGGCGGGAGTTGATCACGGTGTGGATTTGCCAAGCGTGCCTTCCTCTTAGCGCATTTCTCCCTTGTGTCCTGAGTTCAGTGTCTTCAAAGCCCATGACACATTTGGTAAAGGCTATTCTCCAATTGGAAAACATGTTTGTGTATGTGTGTATGTATGTAAATTTAATAAATGATACAGTGGTACCTCGGGTTAAGTGCTTAATTCGTTCCGGAGGTCTGTTCTGAACCTGAAACTGTTCTTAACCTGAAGCACCACTTTAGCTAACGGGGCCTCCAGCTGCTGCCACTGCGCTGCCGGAGCACGATTTCTGTTCTCATCCTGAAGCAAAGTTCTTAACCCGAGGTACTACTTCTGGTTTAGCGGAGCCTGTTACCTGAAGCATCTGTAACCTGAAGCGTATATAACCCGAGGTACCACTGTAATGATGGTAAGGGTAAAGGTAAAGGGACCCCTAACAGTTAGGTCCAGTCGCGGACGACTCTGGGGTTGCGGCGCTCATCTCGCTTTATTGGCCGAGGGAGCCAGCGTACAGCTTCCGGGTCATGTGGCCAGCAGGACTAAGCTGCTTCTGGCAAACCAGAGCAGCGCACGGAAACACCGTTTACCTTCCCGCTGGAGCGGTACCTATTTTTCTACTTGCAATTTGACGTGCTTTCGAACTGCTAGGTTGGCAGGAGCAGGGACCGAGGAACGGGAGCTCACTCTGTTGCGGGGATTCGAACCGCCGACCTTCTGATCGGCAAGCCCAAGAGGCTCTGTGGTTTAACCCACACTGATGTTAAGGTACACCAAAAGTTACCTTGCATGCAGAGCTGGCTGCCTCCTCAGTTCTCGTTCAGGCTGTGCCTGCAGCTGTCAATCAAACAGGGAACCAATTCCAGCCTTGTCTGCAACAATACCTAGTGGTAGCCGAGTTAAAGATAATGTATTTTTCATCTTCTGTAAAGGAAATGGGAGGTGGCGGCTGCCGGCTGTGTTTTGGCGTTAACAGCCTTCCACCACACAATTTCCACTCTCTCTTTGTTCAGCATCACTCCCCCACCCCACCCCCTTCCTTGTTGTTGTGCAGCATCCAGGGTTATGTAATAGTCTTATGCAAGATGAAGGATCAGCACACCTGAACAACTTATCACTATTCGATCTCCCTAAGTCACCAGGCTCTCTCTCTCTGTCTCCAGCCTGTTGCAGGTGGGCAGAGAGGATGGCCAGATCATCCCTTGAAGACTCCTTAATCCCATCATCTTCTTAGGTTCACACCTTGAACCCTCAACGCAGGACCTGCTGGGATTCAGCCGAGGTTTATTTTAAAAAGTGAATGGCTTTTCCTCTAAAAATTAAAAAGTTCACAAAATTGGCTGGCTGCAACATCGATTTTCCAGCAAAGCCATTGTTTGGGTTCTTAAAAAAAACCAAAAACCTAAATTTTATCAAGGTTTATAATATAAAATTATATAATTAAAGGTTATATATAATTATATAATTAAAAGGTTTATAAAAATGCAAAACTTGATTTATTTTCCCTTTTTAAAAAAACCAAATCAAGACTTTTATATAGATACAGTGGGACCTCGGGTTAAGAACTTAATTCGTTCTGAAGGTCTGTTCTTAACCTGAAACTGTTCTTAACCTGAAGCACCACTTTAGCTAAAGGGGCCTCCTGCTGCCACTGCACCGCGGCTGCACGATTTCTGTTCTCATCCTGAAGCATTGTTCTTAACCCAAGGTACTATTTCTGGGTTAGCGGAGTCTGTAACCTGAAGCGTATGTAACCCAAGGTACCACTGTACAATAAAAATGCGGGGTGGGGCGGGTGGAATAGAGAAGGAAAAAGGAAGAAATTTTAAAAAAGAATAGAAAAGAGGTTAAAAGAGAAAGATAGGAGAATAAGCTGTCCGTTTTGTTCTGATGAGGAGTAAATTCCATCTACAAAATGCCAACTTCCCCTCCTGTGCTGAACAGTACTTTTTGGAGATTTCTAAAAAAAAATAAAAATAAAAATCACTGCTACATTTCTGCATTTTGGCTGCTGCTACAAAAGCCTGAGAGTGAGGTCCAAAACCTAAGCAGAAGCTGGCATTTCAGCCTTGGAGCAGAACTGAAGACTTTGTTCACATCACAAAGGACACGCTCATTTCTAAGCGAAGGAAGGAGCTCCTTTTAAACTTCCCCCCCCGCAGATAATAATAATAATAATAATGACAAAACGTTTCCCTGGTTCTTGGCAACCTTAGGACCAGGAGAACACGCTCATTCTTTGCAAGACAATTAGGAACAAGCTGTACCAGGATTAACAATGCTGTGAGCCTTCTGGGCATAATATGTGTCATTTTTTAAACATCCGTGAGCAGCTGTTCCCCTTGCAATTTTAATAAGCCAGGCTTAGTGGGAAAAATTAAGAGCGAGAAAGCGAAGAGGTGGCCCGGCACCTGCACAGGTTGGACACGCTGAGTCCCTTTCGCTCTGTCATTGTCTGGTTCCTTCAGCACCTGAGACAACACAAAGGCAAAATGGATTAGGCTGCTTTTCAAAAGCCCAGACTCTTCGTTTTCCTTTCCTTTCCCTCAGTTCCTTTCTTATTTAGACTGCAAGCTCCTGGGGCAGAGAGCTGTCTTTTCTCACTTGTCCTTGTTCTGCAAAATGCTTTGTGCACTGACGGCGCAATATAACAAACGTTTGGAGGAGCAAATTGGAGAGATCAAAAGGCGAGGTTTGCAAAGAGCCAAGGAGGTGTTTAAAGGACGCCTCACGTGTTGTTGTTTTTTTAACAGCGGGGAGAACTTTGGCAAGAACTTTTGACACGCAGAGAGAGAGCTGGTGGGGAACCCTCTGCTGAAACAGCCGCTTGTATGTCTCGATAGTTCAGCACAGCATTGACCTATGGAACTCACACCCACAAGAGGCAACGATGGCCACCAACATAATAATAATAATAATAATAATAATAATAATAATAATAATACAGTGGTACCTCGGGTTAAGTACTTAATTCATTCTGGAGGTCTGTTCTTAACCTGAAACTGTTCTTAACCGGAAGTACCACTTTAGCTAATGGGGCCTCCTGCTGCTGCTGCACTGCCAGACCACGATTTCTGTTCTCATCCTGAAGCAAACTTCTTAACCTGAAGCATTATTTCTGGGTTAGCGGAGTCTGTAACCTGAAGCGTCTGTAACCTGAAGCGTATGTAACCTAAGGTACCACTGTACACTGTCTTACAATACTCAAGGCGGTTTACAAGCTGAAGAAACAAAAAATGTACCAGTACATCTTATAGCAATCTAATGTAATACAGTGGAACCTCAGGTTACAGACGCTTCAGGTTACAGACTCCGCTAACCCAGAAATAGTACCTCGGGTTAAGAAATTTGCTTCAGGATGAGAACAGAAATCGTGCAGCGACGGCGCAGTGGCAGCAGCGGGAGGCCCCATTAGCTAAAGTGGTACCTCAGGTTAAGAACAGTTTCAGGTTAAGACCGGACCTCCAGAACGAATTAAGTTCTTGACCCAAGGTACGACTGTACAAAAATGTGATAATAAAATATAACTTTAAAATAGGCAACCTACATTAAAAAAGTAACATTCAACAATCATTAGAATAGTATAAAATAATAATATCAACATATAAAAGTTAAACAGAAATCCACTCAACAGCTACAATAAATATGATTTCTAAACTACAGTGGTACCTCGCAAGACGAATGCCTCGCAAGACAAAAAACCCGCAAGACGAAAGGGTTTTTTTGTCTTTTGAGCTGCTTCGCAAGACGGAAACGTCTTGCAAGTTTGTTTCCTTTTTCTTAACACCGTTAATACAGTTGCGACTTGACTTCAAGGAGCAACTCATAGAACGCGGTGTGGTAGCCTTTTTTGAGGTTTTTGAAGACTTTGGTGATTTTTGAAGCTTTTCCGAAACTTTTCCGAAACCGTGCTTCGCAAGACGAAAAAAATCGCAAGACGACAAAACTCGCGGAACGAATTAATTTCGTCTTGCGAGGCACCACTGTATAATCAATAAAACCATGGCAAGCCACAGTATATATACAATACAAATTGAGAAGCAGAGACTAGAGGGTGGAGCAAGGCAAGATATTGTCTCTCCCATTTTACAGAGGGGAAGTTAAGGCTAACAGTGACCTACTTCGCAGGGTGGTTGTGTGTTCCATGTTTGCAGCGAGGTGATCATCCTCTATGTTCCAAAGCTCCAGTTACGTGTGAATATTTCTGACCAAACAAACAAGAGATAACTCTCTTTTTTTCCAGCCCTGGCGCTGCCGTTACCCACCCAGCTCTCGGAGGTGGACGAAAAGGTAAGAACAGGAAAAGGGTGGGGTGGTCATGTCACCTATATTGGACCCTGAAATATACTCAGAGTCGCAAAGTGATTTCATGCTCTTAATTCAGCTCATAGTGGTGAGGAGGAATGAATGAAAGTCCTCTCAAAGTATCTGCTTTATATACATTATTTACACAATGGGCTGCACATGATTGGCTAATTCCGGAATTCTACTGTAAGCCAATCAGGTTGTGGATTCACTTCTATCTGGAGCATGATTGGGTAGTTCCTGCCAACCAATCATACTGCTGCATTGTTCTAGGACCAATCAGACTGCTGCATTCTGAATCCTATTGTTCTAGGACCAATCAGACTGCTGCCTTTTGGATCCTATTGTTCTAGCACCAATCAGACTGCTGCAGTTTGGATCCTATTCAACTCAGTACATAACAGACCCTATATGTGCTATACCTTTAAGGCTTCCCCCAAAGAATTCTGGGAAGTGTAGTTTGTTAACGGTGCTGAGAGTTATTATTAATTGAATTTATATACTAACCTATACCTGCAGGTCTCAGGGCAGTGCACAGACAGGAGACTTCTATTCCCCCTGGTGCAATTCTTAGAAAGCATAATAATAATAATAATAATAATAATAATAATAATAATAATGTTATCATTTAGAGGCTGCCAGTCTCTTTGGGTTACCTCAGCCACTTTGATCGGCTTCTAGCAAAAATATAAAAACATCAAACATCAAATTGTAAAAGAAAGATGTTTGGGAGAACTGTTACAAGGGAACATAATGAAATTCAGTTAGGGGGGATTTGAGGAAGTCACGTAATAATGGAATTTAAAATGAATATAAGAAAGAATATGTATTTTTATTTTTTATTTTTCTTGTAGTATTGTAGTGTGTGTTTTGTTTTGTATGTTTTATTCGTTATAGATGTAAAAAAAAAACAATAAATTTTTTTTTTTGGGGGGGGGAATCAAACATCAAAAAGTTCCCTATACAGGGCTTTTGTGATAAATTCCTCTTCCCAGGGAACTCTGGGATTCACAGCTCTGTTCAGTGCTTTTCCCCCCCTTAAAAATGTTTAGGGGGTACTCTCATTTTCCTACTCATATTGAAATACTGCCCCTCAAGGAGGCCAAACTTAGATTCACAAAATGTTTTGGGGTATGTGTACCCCTGCGTTCGCCCAGAAAAAAAAAACACTGGTTCTGTTAGGATGATAGTGGGGTCTCCTGGCAACAATCTGCATCATGGGTAGGCAAACTAAGGCCCGCGGGCCGGATCCGGCCCAATCGCCTTCTCAATTCGGCCAATGGACAGTCTGGGAATGTTTTTACATGAGTAGAATGTGTCCTTTTATTTAAAATGCATCTCTGAGTTATTTTTTTCCCTTCAAAATATGGTCTGGCCCCCCACAAAGTCTGAGGGACAGTGGACCGGCCCCCTGCTGAAAAAGTTTGCTGACCCCTGCTCTGCAGGCTTACCAAAACTACAGCTCCCAGAATTCTTTGGGGGAAGCCATACCTTTTTCTTAAAGTTCATTTTGATGGGTTGTTTTTTTGCTGCCAGGTTACTAAGTGCATCACCGAAATCCTCGCAGACACCCTCTCCAGACCCAGCCCAATTCCGGTGACCAGTGAATGCACGAAGATACTTAGAGAGGGTAAGTTACGGTCTGCGTGGTCAAACTCCTTAAGCGGTGTCTGCAAATACCCACATCCTCAAAGTAATGTGAAAATAGGCCTTTTTAGTGGTGGCTCCCCACTTGTGGAATGTTGCCAGAAAGAGGCAAGGCCCCGCTGCATCTGTGTTGCCTAGCAACCATCAGCAGCAGCAGGAAGAAGATGACACAGGGCAGCCCTATCTTTTCCGGCAACCACCAGCAGAGGGAGCCACTGCTCTTGGTTGTTGTTGCCTAACAACAAACAGCCACCAGAAAACCAGAAGCAGACCTGCTGTTGCGACTGTGTTACCTGGCAACAGCCTCTCTGTTGCTTAGCTACCACCACTAGGATGGGAGCCTCTGGGCAGGGGCAAGCGTGAAGGAGGCCCTGTTTGTGGTAAATTGCCACAGAACAGGGAAGACTTTATCAGGGCCTCTTCTGTGCAATTGTTTCTTACGGCACAACAGGCCTAAACTGTCCTAACCTCTGTTTATTATTCAGATGGTTATACCCCCGTGGCTTACAACGTATCAGCCGTCACCAACCTCTATGATTCTAACCTGCTTCCCTGCAGATATTTTGGACTACAAATCCCATCAGCCCTGCTGGTTCGGGCTGATGGAATTTGTAGTCCAAAACATCTGGAGGGGACATGCTCAGTGAAGGTCGCAATGGACGGTGCTGAAACACACAAAGGCACACACCAGTACTTTTATCTCAAACCACACCACCCGGCAGCCTGTAATTCCCTGCTGAGAGTAGAGACTGCTATTCCCCTCATGGAGCTACAATTCCCAGAATTACATGTGATTGTTAAGCCTCTCTACAGCTTTGTGAGGGGAATGGGGGGGGGTGTTTGTCTCCTAACAACTCTCAGGAAAACATCATCTCCCAGAATGCTTTGGGGGAAGCCATGACGGTCTAAAGCAGGCGTGGCCAAACTTGGCCCTCCAGATGTTTTGGGACTACAATTCCCATCAACCCTGACCACTGGTCCTGTGAGCTAGGGATGATGGGAGTTGTAGTCCCAATCCGGCTGGAGGGCCGAGTTTGCCTATGCCTGTTCTAAAGCTGAGAACCGCTTAGTGCATTAAAATCGTAGCGCTTTAAAAGGATGCTGCGGATGTGGCCGTAGTCCCTTAGCAGAGGCCGGGGTGCTTTTCTGAGGCTGAACTGTTAAGTCGTGGGTTGACATAGCAGCCGGCACAGCGATTTCTTCAAGTAGCTCTTTATTATGGTAAGCTGGAATACAACTGACTGCGAACAGCTCAGCCGGCCTGTATTTATAGGCAGCCGGCTGTCAACATTGTAACCACAACAGCCCAGAGTTCCCGCCTAAAATAACTGCCGCGGACCTGAGTGAAAACTATCTACAGACCTGAGTGAAAACTATATACAGTATCCCCCTGTTGGTCCAGGGTGAAACTACACTACATAACACCCCTCCCCACCGAGATAAGGCGTTAGTTACAATCGTAATGGTTTCCTTATATACAGCACTACGCGTAATGGTTCCATTAAGCACAAAAGCATATCGGTTACATTTCCCATACTTAGACCAACAGTGATACCTGTCCAACAACATAGTCCTTTAAATAAGTTGGGCGCTTGGAAACTCTGCCAGACCGCCGGGGACTGGTAGCCAAGTCCGGAGGGCCACACAGTTCTCGCTGAGGCTGTGGTGCGACCCTAGGTGGCGTTGGAACCAACTCCCCTGGATCCGCTGCTGTGGGTGGAGCCTCCGCAAGTGGAGTGGTCTGAGTCTGTTCTGAAACGGCTTGGTTCGGCTCCACGCTGGCAGTTTGTGAGGGAGGTGTAGGTGGGGCCTCGCCATCTGTACGTGTCTCTTCTGGAGCCGCAAGCACAGTTGGGGGCACCTCGGTAGTGTCCAAGTCCCCAACCCTGCGCCTAAGCTGGTCTATGTGCCGTCGCCACAAGCGTCCGTCTTCGAGTGCCACCTGGTACGAGCGAGGTCCAGTGACTCCCACTACTGTGGCTGGCACCCAAGGGATGTCCCCCACATAGTTCCGGGCAAAGACCTGGTTTCCTGGGACAAATGACCGTGGTGCGTTGGCACAGCCTGGGGGTTCAGCCACGGCAAAGTCTGGGTGTAGCCGGTCGAGCGGTGACCTGAGGCGGCGGCCCATAAGCAGTTCAGCAGGACTCCTCCCTGTGGCCGCATGAGGGGTGATGATCGTCTGGGCTTCCGCAGTGGCATCATCGACTGGCAGTTGTTGATAGGCTTGGGCAAGGTCCAGCTTAGCGAAGACCTTACCCTCACCCAGGGAATGCAGCAGGTGTTGGACAACAGGAACCGGATAAGCGTGCTGCTGAAGTGCCTTGTTGATCGTGCACTTGTAGTCAGCGCAGATTCTCACCGACCCATCTGGCTTGACAGGCGTGACGATGGGGGTTTCCCACTTTGCGTGGTCAACCGGCTCCAAAACTCCTTGGGCGATCAGTTTGTCCAGTTGTTCGTCCACCTTAGCCTTGAGAGCAAAGGGAACCCGGCGTGGCTTTAGCTTGATGGGGGCGACTTGTGGATCAAGGCTAAAGGAGATGGGCGTACCTGTATATTGGCCCAAGGTGCCGTCAAAAACCTCGGCAAAGTCTTTGACCAGACCCTCAGTCTCTGCGTTAGAGATGCAGTTGATGCCGGTGACTTCCAGGCCGAGGGCATCAAACCAGTCTAGCCCTAGGAGGCTTGGCCGCTGACCTTCGACCACCACCAACCGGAGCAGGCCCGAAAAATCCTTGAAAGCGATCCGGAACCGGCCAACGCCTACCACGGGAATGTCGTTTCCCTGGTAGTCTCTCAGGTGTACGCGGTGAGAGTCGAGTTGCCTTTTGGACACTCTGGGTACCAGTCTTTTGATGGTGCTCCATGACACGATGGACAGGGCAGACCCGGTGTCGATCTCCATGTCACATGGAGCTCCTTCAATTAGCACCGTGACGTTCAGCTTGCGTCGCGTAGGTGAGTCGGTTTGGCCAATCGTGGTTCCAGACGGGCAGCGGCAGTTGGTGAGAGCGAAACAACTTTCCTTGGCAGACTGGAGTGAAGACTTGGACTTGCGAGTCGATGAAGGGGGGTGTCAGACGGAGCCGATCGGCAGACCTTAGCGATGTGGCCCCTTCTGGAGCACTTCCTACAGATGGCGTCTCTGAATCGACACTTGGCACGGGAATGGTTGCCTCCGCAGCCAGCACATTCCGGTTGGCCCTTGGACTTCTGTTGGAACTTCCTGCGCTCCCGCTTTGTCTGGTGCACGTCATCGTCTTCACTGGAGGATGCCTCATCACTGCTGGCCTCTTCATGATGCACCGGAACTGGCTCCCTAGCAAGACGCGGGCTGCTGGACTTGCGGATCTCCTGGGCGGAGCGTTCAGCAGCTTCTGAGGCCACAGCCTCCTCAATGGCTTTCTGTAGCGTGAGGTCTGGCTTGGCTAGGAGGCGCCGTTGCAGATGGATGTCCCGGACCCCGCAGACGATTCGATCCATCAGGGCATCGTCTAAGTCTCGGAACTCACAGTGCATTGCAGCCTGTCGCAGGGCGGTGGTGTAGTTGTTGATTGACTCCCCCTCTGCCTGGTTCCGGTGGTAGAACGCATGGCGGGCAGCAATCTTGGACGGCTTTGGTGCGTAGTGGTTGCGGAGCTTCTCTTGGATCGTGTCCCATGGTGTTGCCTGGACTGCTTCAGGCGCAACCAACGCTCGGGCCGTCTCAAACACCTCAGGCCCACAGAGGCTGAGGAATAGGCCCCGCTTCCGATCCTTTGATACTGCTGTCAGCTCGTTGGCTTGGAGGTAGCAGTCGAACCGAGCGAGGTAGGAGTCCCACGATTCAGAGGCTGGCGCAAACGGCGGTAGAGGCACAAGTGAAGCCATGATTCCGATGCCGGCGTGAAGGGCGATGGATGGAACACAGTGCTCTAGCCAGAACAGTCAGCTCTGAATTGGTTCTGCCCAGTGATTTCGCTCAGTGATTTCGCTCTGTGATTCAGCTCAGTGATTCAGCTCAGTTCAGAGGCTGGCCGCATCTGGCTGTGCTCTGATGTCCATCCATCCCATCCTCGTCGCCAGTGTTAAGTCGTGGGTTGACATAGCAGCCGGCACAGCGATTTCTTCAAGTAGCTCTTTATTATGGTAAGCTGGAATACAACTGACTGCGAACAGCTCAGCCGGCCTGTATTTATAGGCAGCCGGCTGTCAACATTGTAACCACAACAGCCCAGAGTTCCCGCCTAAAATAACTGCCGCGGACCTGAGTGAAAACTATCTACAGACCTGAGTGAAAACTATATACAGTATCCCCCTGTTGGTCCAGGGTGAAACTACACTACATAACATGAACAACTGGAGCAACTCCTTTGCACTTGGCTGGCATTCCTGCCGGCCTTCAAAGCCACGCGCGATGTGTGCGATGTCTGGAATCCATGATACTCGCTGCGAATTTAATTGGCACCCTGTCTGTTTTCAGATGAGAGAGTCCTGGCGATGCTTCACCATCAGCACCTGTTGACGGAGCTGGAGGAACTCACGCATCAAGGTAAACGGGCGAGCCAAATCCAGCCATTCCCCATTCCGTCGAGGAAATGTCTTTCTGAGCCTTGGAATCCGTTTTGCAAGGGCTGAGATTAGTGCCAGCTCCAGGGTGCTGGAGAACATTGGTTTTTATTTCTTTCTTTCTTTACTATCACTTTTTCCTCCAAGTACAGTGGTGCCCCGCAAGACGAATGCCTCGCAAGACGAAAAACTCGCTAGACGAAAGAGTTTTCCGTTTTTTGAGTTGTTCCGCAAGACGAATTTCCCTATGGGCTTGCTTTGCAAGACGAAACGTCTTGCGAGTTCTTGCGAGTTTGTTTCCTTTTTCTTAAAGCCGCTAATAGCCGCTAAGCCGCTAATAGCCGCTAAGCCGCTAATAGCCGTGCTTCGCAAGACGGAAAAACCGCAAGACGAAGAGACTCGCGGAACGGATTAATTTCATCTTGCGAGGCACCACTGTACCTCAAGGCAGCACACCTCTCCCTATTTTATCCTCCAAACAACCCTGGGAGGGAGGTTAGGCTATAATAATAATAATAATAATAATAATAATAATAATAATAATAATAGAGCCAGGCTCAGGGCAGCTAACACCCGGAATTTCCCTGACATAGCCAAAATACTGCAGTGTCTGCGTGAAAATCACTAAAAAACATCAGGGAAAACCTGGGTGTATGGCAACCCATGTCAGCGATGGGTTTTTTTGGTGATTTTCCTGAAAAATAGCCCCCAAACTTCATTTTTTTGTCATCTTTCCTTAAAAATAGCTCCAAAACTTGGGGCAAAAGTTTTTTAAAAAGCTCAACAACTTTTTGAAATAGGGCAACCCTAACTAAAAGTTTGTGTGTGGCAGGTAAAAATAAATAAAAAGGGTTGCTAGTCCTCCTCAGAGTAGACCCACTGAGAGAGACATGACTAACTTGAATTCATTAATTTCAGTTGGTCTACTCCCAGGTAGGACGTAGGTGAATACCAACCACTGTCACACAAAAAAAACCCATGGCAACTCCCATATTTTTGTGGTGGTTCCCATTTTATTTTACCCGCCATGTGTGCTGGACCTAGAACTTGGCATTGTGGGGAAATTAAGATGGCGGGTGCCAGTGGCGTAGCATGGGGGTGCAGGGGGGGCCGGCCGCACCGGGCGCAACATCTGGGGGGGCGCTCGCCGCCTCCGGAGTCGCCGAAGAGCCTCGGGCGCAGGCTGTAGCAGAGCCCCATGCCTCGCGGAACCGACGAGCTGGCAGCGGTTCTCAGCGCTCGCCGCGGTCCCCGCGCGTCAGGGCTGCGGAGGGCGCGCCAGGCAGCCCCTCCTCACAGCCCCGCTGCTGCAGCTGCTGGGCCATGTTGCATTTTCCTCGCCTTTCTGCCCTCCTCCTCCGGGCAAGCGGCGTCATTTGGGCGGCAGCGCCAGCGGCAACTCGCCTCAGATCACCTGACACGGACCCGCCGCCGTGGCTACCTTACCGTAAATACCCCAGCCCAGGCAGCAGCAAGAAGAAGCTGGCAGCGGCGGCAGGTTAGGGGGCGCAAATTACTTGCCTTGCCCCGGGTTAGGGGGCGCAAATTACTTGCCTTGCCCCAGGTGCTGACAACCCACGCTACGCCGCTGGCGGGTGCAAATATGGCTGCCAAGGGTCCTGGAGTGGGAAGCTCAGGAAGCAGTGGTCTCCTGCAGGCCTCACCAATGACATGGTCTCCGGAAAGTTAGACAACGTTGGTGCCAGGCCTGTTTGGGGAGGGAACATGGAGTGAGAGAGGCCCCAATATCGAAGCGGAGATGGTGTGAAACTGCAGCAGGACTGGGAGAAAATGTCTGCGAAACAGACACACACAAAAAGAGCGAAAGGTAGAATTGTTGGGGACTAATAATAATAATATAATTATTTATACCCCGCCCTCCCCAGCCAAGACCGGGCTCAGGGCGGCTAACAACCAATAATAAAAACAAGTTGATTGAAATACAATTTAAAAAACAAGATTAAAATACAACATTAAAACTTTAAGATGCAGCCTCTTCACAGGAGGACAGTGGCGTAGCGTGGGTTGTCAGCACCCGGGGCAAGGCAAGTAATTTGCGGGCCCTCTAACCCGTGGATTTGCGTCCCTAACCCGTGGATTTGCGCACCCTAACACCCAGATGTTGCGCCCGGTGCGGCCGGCCCCCCCTGCACCCCCCACGCTACGCCACTGCAGGAGGAGAAAGGAAAAAGAAAGAGGGGGAGGGGATCAAATTGACTCCAAGCCAAAGGCCAGGTGGAACAACTCTGTCTTACAGGCCCTGTGGAAAGAAATCAGATCCCGCAGGGCCCTGGTCTCATGAGGCAGAGCGTTCCACCAGGCCGGGGCCAGTGTTGAAAAGGCCCTGGCTCTGTTTGAGGCTAATCTAACTTCCTTAGGGCCCGGGACCTCTAGGGTGTTGCTATTTATGGACCTTAAGGTCCTCCGTGGGGCATATCGGGAGAGGCGGTCCCGTAGGTACGAGGGTCCTAGGCAAACCAAAAACAAAAAAACACCCCCACCTTCGGTTGCCTTCCCTGAAATGATCTCATCCCCACTGCAGAAAACGAGAAGCATCGTCTGGGTCACGAAGGCAACCATGATGTTTGGGAAGAGGAGGAACAAGAGGAAGTGAAGAAGAGAGATGTCAAGCCTGTCCAGCAGAGAGAAGAAGCTGCGTTGGAGAAGACAGAGGAGCAAAACGGGCAGGCGAATAAAGAGGAGCAGGAGCTGAAAGAGTTTGAGAAGACAGAGAAGACTGAGGAGAAGGTGAAGGAAGAGAAGGTCTCCCGAGGAGAGGAGAACAGAGAGGCTCTGGAGGAACAAGCCAAGGAGCGGATGGAGGAGGAAGAAGAGGGTGAGGAGAGCGACGAGGAGGACGAAGCGAGGAGGAAGAAGAAGAGAAGCTCCTCAGAGACGTGGTCTTCTAAGGAATATTTTGGGCACATCAAGAAGCGACGCCCCGGGCCTCCAAAGATCAGGAAGGTGATGCTTCAAGGAAGTCGAGAAGACGAGAAGAGGAACGGGCCGAGCAAGAGGCATTTCAGGTCAGAGGACGACGAGGAGAGCTCTGAAGAGGAGCCGAAGAAATACCACCACGGAAGGCACAGCGATGGCCGCCATCACCATGAAGACTGGGAGGAGGAGGAGGAGGAAGAGAAGAAGAGATCTGATCTGGAGAAGAGGGTGGCCGAGAAGGCCAGCGATGAGGAGACCGCCCAGTTTGAGGAGGAAGAGAAAGGCGTGAAGATCTCCAACTCCCAGGCCCACGGAGGCTGGAAGCCATGGGGAGAAGGAGGGGAGAAGGATGAGGAGAAAGAAGGCAAGGCGAGGCATGGGCGTCACCACAAACCGGCCGGCTTTGACCTCAAGAAGAGGCACTGGAAGGACGAGGTCTATCTGAAGGGCGGCAGGTATCGTGGCCGTGAAGAGGAGGAAAGGGAGACCTCTCCGAGCGAGGTCAGTATCCATTCTGCACTTGTTCCCATCATAAGGCTTGAGTTGGTTAAGTAGCAAGAAGGAGAGGGGATGGGGGAGAGCAGATGGACAACTATCCCAACAGAGAGGTGTAGAAAGAGGAGGTCTCCGAAGGGTCGCTGTTGGGACCTGTGCTTTTTATCTTGTTCACCAACCAGCACGTTTCCGAGCACAATTCAAAGTGTTGGTGTTGACCTTTAAAGCCCTAAACGGCCTCGGTCCTGTATACCTGAAGGAGCATCTCCACCCCCATCGTCCAGCCCAGACACTGAGGTCCAGCTCCGGGGGCCTTCTGGTGGTTCCCTCACTGCGAGAAACCAAGTTACAGGGAACCAGGCAGAGGGCCTTCTCAGTGGTGGCACCCGCCCTGTGGAACACCCTCCCTTCAGATGTGAAGGAAATAAGCAGCTATCTTCTTTTTAAAAGACATCTGAAGGCAGCCCTGTTTAGGGAAGTTTTTAATATTTAATGCTGTATTGTTTTTAACACTTGATTGGAAGCTGCCCAGTGTGGCTGGGGAAACTCAGCCAGATGGGCGGGGTATAAATAATAATAATAATAATAATAATAATAATAATAATAATAATAATAATAAAGAACTTTGCTTCAGGATGAGAACAGAAACCATGTTCCGGCGGTGTGGCGGCAGCAGGAGGCCCCATTAGCTAAAGTGGTGCTTCAGGTTGAGAACAGTTTCAGGTTAACCCGAGGTACCACAGTAATAATATATTTTTATTTATATCCCGCCCTCCCCAGCCGACACCGGGCTCAGAGCGGCTAACAACAATAAAAGTAACACAGCATTCTAAAATCAATTCGTTTTAAAATCAATTCAAAATCAAATTCATGGCAACCATTGGGCTAGAGTTCTGTGAGGATTGCCAAAGGAGGGGGTCAGGCTGTGCCTTGGCCAAAGGCCTGGTGGAACAGCTCTGTCTTGCAGGCCCTGTGGAAAGATGTCAAGTCCCGCAGGGCCCTAGTCTCTTGTGACAGAACGTTTCACCAGATCGGGGCCACGGCCGAAAAAGCACTGGCTCTGGTTGAGGCCAGCCTAACCTCCCTGTGGCCTGGGACCTTCAAGATGCTTTTGTTTGAAGACTGTAAGGTCCTCCGTGGGACATACCAGGAGAGGCGGTCCCGTAGGTACAAGGGTCCTAGGCCGTATAGGGCTTTAAAGGTTAAAACCAGCTCCTTAAACCTGATCCTGTACTCCACCGGGAGCCAGTGCAGCTGGTATAGCACCGGGTGAATGTGATCTCGCAGCGAGGACCCTGTAAGGAGTCTCACTACGGCATTCTGCACCCGCTGGAGTTTCTGGGTCAGTCTCAAGGGCAGCCCCACGTAGAGCGAGTTACAATAATCAAGCCTGGAGGTGACCGTCGCATGGATCACAGTGGCCAGATCAGGGCGAGAGAGATAAGGAGCCAACTGCTTAGCTTGGCGGAGATGAAAAAATGCCGTAGTTAGAAGCTGGAAAAGTCCCGTAGTTAGAAGCTGGGAGAATTCTAACTCAGTGGCTTTAAAAAAATAGCAATTCTGCAGTGCACTCCACCCAGAAACTTTCTCTTTCCAAAACCTGAAGGCTTGAGATCTATAGAGAGATTGAAGGGAGGGTGTTCCCCAACCCTCCTACCTTCGCAGCATCACCTTCCAGCCAGTGCTGCTACTGGAGAGGCCTCTCCCTCCTCTCTCTCATGTGCATATCCTCTCTTCTTGCAGGTCCAGGAGCTGGAGAAGCTTGAAGAGATCGAGCGGGAGCTGAAAAGGGCAGCTGAGAAGCTGGAGGAGCTGAAGAGGGGGTAGCCCCTTTCCACCCTATGGGCAGATGGCTAGCATCTTTGTGAACCCACCTGGCCACCCAATTCCCCTCCACCTCCTAATAAGCAATCCCTGTATATAATCTCTCTCCCTCCAGCTTGGCTTTCGACTGTTAAAAGGAGCTTTCCCTTGCTTTTGAAACACACACACATGCAAACCTCCACCCCGGCAGGCTTCAGCACAGAGATTTGCTCCCTGCTTGCCTCTCCGGCTGTTGGACTACAACTCCCAAACACCCCTGACTATTGGCCAGCCTGGCTGGGGCTGATGGGAACCAGAGTCCTGATAGTAGCCACCTTTGAGCAGCGCAGGATGCCTTCAAAATAGTCACAGACCATGCCAATCCTTAGATTTAGACATTACCGTATTTTCCGCCCTATAGGACGCACTTTTTCCCGTCCAAAAATGAAGGGGAAATGTGTGTGCGTCCTATGGGGCGAATGCAGGCTTTCGCTGAAGCCTGGAGAGCGAGAGGGGTCCGTGCGCACCGACCCCTCTCGACTCTCCAGGCTTCAGGAAGCTATCCGCAAGCCTTGGGAGCCTGCGGAGTTCCCGCCGGGCTCCCTAGGCTTGCGGATAGCAGCCTGCATCCTGAAGCCTGGGGCGCGCTAAGCAGCCTGGAGAGCCCGGTGGGAGTTCCCGCCGGGCTCCCAAGGCTTGTGGATAGCAGCCTGTTCTGGGGGCTGGCGTCGGGGGAAGCTCGGGCTTCCCCCGCCCCAGCCCCGCGCCTGGGGGGGGAAAATAATTTTCCCCCCCCTTTATTCCCCCCCCGAAACTAGGTGCGCCCTATGGGCTGGTGCGCCCTATAGGGGCGAAAAATACAGTAATTTCATAATGAATAGTAATCTGGGATGCATTGCAAAAATCACGTGTGGACCTCCTTTCAGTCCTCAATTTCCCCATTAACACGCACTCACAAATGATATGGAGTGCTCCTGTATCTTCTTCTCGAGTGACTGAAGTTTCCCCATTGCCTTGGCAGAACCAGCACACCGTTTTCTTGAAAGCGACACACTTTTGGTGTTTCCAGCGTTCCTGAATGCTTAGCTTTGGAGCACCCAGGGGCTAAGAAGTTCCCCTTCTTAGCTGATGGGGCAGCTCAAGGATGCTAGAGGCTGAGACCCTATTGCTGAAATAGTAAGGCTTCTCCAACCACAACTACCACCACCTGACTCCAGACCACAGCGCCTGAGGAACTAGCAGTTTCCCCAACCCTGGATAAGAGGGTCCGAGATTGCTCTGTTCTTATAGCTACACTTTTGCCCATACAATTAAACCCCTGTGTTGCAAACAAGCATCAGTAATATCCAAAGGCAACACGATGACCAAGTACAACGATGCGATGTCAATATGCCCTCTCTGCAAAACCAAATGAATACTCTTGATGGATTCTCTTGAAAACATAGAACCAAATAAACATAAGTCTTATAGGTCTCTGAAAGTCTTTGTGGGCTATGCAAGTCTCTGATCTGGTTCTTATCTGGTGAAAACAAGCCGTAAAGCTTTGTTTTATGATGTCCAACGCTGCCGAAGTGGTCCTATAAGACTTATGTTTATTTGGTTCTGTTTTCAAGAGAATCCATCAAGAGTATTCATTTGGTTTTGCAGAGAGTGCATATTTCATATTGTTCTATGTTTTGTATAGATTATATAAAGAGTTTATATTGACATCGCATTGTTGTACTTGGTCATCATGTTGCCTTTGGATTTTACTACACTTTTGCCCCTGGCAGCTGCGCTTCAGGGTTCTTTTCGCCAACCAGCAGGCCAGCTCTGACCACATCTGAAGTTCTCCCTGTGCTGCTGCGGCTATTCCGTACACCCAAGCCAGGATCTTCAGGGTCACTTTTTTGCACAGCCCTTCTACGCTTCCACAAGAGCATCCTTTATTGCTCCCGGAAGTGTGAGGAGAGTCCGCTTTGCCAGATTCCTTGTGGTCCCTTCTAACTCTACAATTCTATAATATTACGAAATAAAAGGAGGCCTGCTATTCCTGTGCTGTGTACCAGGAAATACATAGACAAGACCATAACTACAGTCCTCTGCAGGATCAAGACAATGGCCCACAGATTCAGTAATCACAGAACTGTAGACCTGGAAGGGACCACAACCGTCACCTAGTCCGACAGTGCAGGAATCTTTTGCCCAAGGTGGGACTCGAACCCAGAACCTAGGAGTCTCGTGCTCTACCGACTGAGCCATCCCCAGAGCCCACCCTAGTTCAGCATCCTGTGGGAAGTCCACAATGCAGTCTTGTTTTGCGCCAGTCAAGATATTTTGGACAGCGAGTCCCATGAGCTGGTGTGCTCAGGGGTGATGGGAGGCTATATAGTCCAAAACGTCTGCTGACAGGCTTCGCACAGGCATCTGGGTTAGGGCCGCAACATTCCCCGAACTGAACATCCGGGTTTCCCCGAACAGTTTGCAGTTTCCATGAAAATCCGCCCGGATGCAAAAATGCCGCCCTATTCCGGGACGTATGCCAGCCCTAATCTGGGTAGCCACTGTGAGAACAGGATGCTATTATTTTACCTAATAAAAATAAAACACACACACAAAAACACATTTTAAAAGGGCATAGGATGTAAATCTGATCAACCAAAGGCCTGGTTAAAAAGGAATGTTTTTTCCTGGCGCCTAAAGATGTCTAGTGAAGGCGCCAGGCAAATTTCCCTGGGGAGAGCATTCCACAGACGGGGAGCCACTGCAGAGAAGGCCCCGCTCTCGTGTTGCCACCCTTGTATACACATCCTCTTTGATCTCTTGAACATGGATGCAACAATGGGGTTTCAGATTTCAACTGAATTGGCATGTGGCCGAGACTGAGGTTGCCGCACATTCCAGCAGGGCTCCTGTGCCTTTGCTTGGTCCAGCAGGATTCCTACACTCTTATGCATTAATGCAGTAAACCGCAGCTCCAGGAACCCTAAGCTTTCTCCCAGGAAGTGGCCTGTTTACATGAGTCACGCCTCTTGGCTTGCCTCCTTCCTACCAGTCTTGGCAGGCACACCACACCACACCACACACATTTGCATAACTGTTTCTCTCTTGCTGCTGAAAAAATAACACCATTATCCGTCCTTGGAGGAGGCTGCCTGTTGCACCTCTGTGTGAGTTGCGGCTCTGGCCTCGCCTCCTTCGAAGTGGCTTTGCTGGGGCCTCTGCAGTGGATCGCAGCTGTTGGAGCATGGACTGTCCACCTCTGGAGGAGGAGGAGGCTGCCTGTTGTGTCTCTCCATCGTTTGCCAAGCCGGGGCTTTCTTCTTTCCCAGCAGGAGGTGCACAGTGAGTCATGCAGAAGCAGGGGGCATTCTTCCTCTCGCACCCTCAGGGAGCCAAACCTCGTGTGTGCAAGAGTGATGTGTGCGGCCCGTTTTGGTTCACGGGAGACAAGTGAATCTTCCATGCTCTGAAGCCTGGGAAGTGGTGGTCTCTGGGGTGGGGACACTGCCACGAGTGTACAGCATTGCAAGACCCACATACCCACACACCGGTGAAGGAGGGAATTAAGCTCCATGATTAAAGCAGGGTCCTTTTTAAAAAATAAGCTCTCCCTCTCAAATAAGTCTTATTGGCTATTTGTTTTTTAACTAACCCCTGGCACTACTGAGCTAATCATCCCTCACTCCCCCTTCCCCTCTGATTAATCTGCTTCGACTGTTCAGATTGGAATCTTCCACCTGTCTCCCTCTCCTGCGAATGGCCTCTTTGGTTAGCGGTGAGGAGGCAGAAGTTTTCGGAAGCTGCCCATAAATGCGGTGTGATTTTTGTTTGTTTTTGGGTGGGTGGGGCGTGATCCGTGTTGGGGTGTTGTGTTTGGATATTCCTATGACCGGGGAGGGGGTTTGCTTTAAAGCACTGGCGTGGAGTCAACTCAATAAAGCGAAGTCCAAAAGAAGCAATCTGGAAGTCTGGATCTCCTTGGTTTCAGATCTTGACATTCCCCAAGTGCCTCCAATCTGTATTATTATTATTATTATTATTATTATTATTATTATTATTATTTATATACCGCCTATACCCAGGGGTCTCAGGGCAGTTCACAAAATAAAATCAAGATAAAAAACCATAAAATACCTAATAAAAATAAAGAACAACCCAATAGCCCCCTCTCAACACACACACAAAAAACATTTTAAAAGGGCATAGGATGTAAATTGGATCAACCAAAGGCCTGGTTAAAAAGGAACGTTTTTTCCTGGCGCCTAAAGATGTCTAGTGAAGGCACCAGGCAAACTTCCCTGGGGAGAGCATTCTGCAGACGGGAAGCCACTGCAGAGAAGGCCCCGGTCTTGTGTTGCCACCCTCGTATACACACCCTCTTTGATCTCTTGAACATGGACACAACAATGGGGTTTCAGATTTCAACTGAATTGGCATGTGACCGAGACTGAGGTTGCCGCACATTCCAGCAGGGCTCCTGCGCCTTTGCAGCTGGGCAGAAAGACAATCAACCTGCAAAGGTTTCCCAAAGGAAGATTGCAACACTTTACTTTGCCAGAGAATCTCCTTTACTTGGTTAAGTTATATGACAAAGCTTGCCCACTGTTAGAAATAATCTCTAACCCTGGCTTTTTAACAATCTTTACTCTGGCTTTTGACACCCGAGAGGTATATTTTTAGGACCCATCTTATTTTTGCGACAGTAAATTGTTTTAAACTGTTATTAATGTTGCAGAACTCACGCTGGCACCTTAGGGTGAAGACTTTGCTAATACTAGAGAGAAACCCTTGATGCCTCATCCAGAAAGCAATGAGGGGGAAACCAATGGTCCTCTAGATCAGTGTTCCCCAAACTTGGGCCTCCAGCTGTTTTTGGACTACAACTCCCATCATCCCTGACCACTGGTCCTGCTGGCTAGGGATGATGGGAGTTGTAGTCCAAAAACAGCTGGAGGCCCAAGTTTGGGAAACGATGATCTAGATCAGCCTTTCTCAACCTGCGGGTCCCCAGATGTTGTTGGACTACAACTCCCATCATCCCTGAGCTCTGGCCTTGCTCGATGATGGTAGACTTGGTAGCCTTGCCTCAATGCCTGATTAGGATGTGCTATGTACAATCATCCTATATTTTGTCCTTGTTGGGCGAGGGGTTTTTGGCATGCAACCAGGATCAGCTTCCTCCATCCACGCAGAGCCCTCCTTCCTCAAAACAGAGAGAGAGAGAGAGAATGAATAAAAAGCCACACAGAAATCCATAGCTTTTAATCTGATCAGGGCCAGAGAGACCTACATAATACAACAGGCACATGGAAGGCAGAGAGACAGAACTCCGTCACAGACACAGATTAAAACAGATCACAGGAAAACCACACCGTAGCTACGAAACGAAACACCCAGCCTCGTGGAAGCCAAGAACAATCAATTCCTTCAGACAGGGTTTGCAAGTGGAAGAAATCAAAGTATGTACATAAGATGGGACTGGATTTCCTCCTTTCGTTGAAGACACATATGGTACTATATATATATATGTATTTAAATAGCAGCTCCAATGAGAGGGCACATTGCTGAGCCACAGGAAAAGTGGATGCTGTGACTGCAAAGGAACAAAGTCAGCTTATCAGATGTGGGCAAAATCGACCCACCAGCTGCGGTGTGCCACGCTGCCACCTCCAGACACTGGCACCCTCTATGAAACCACAACCTCGCCCCCCCCCCAACTTGCTCTCACTCAGTCCTTACCCAGATCCAAAATCCTACCTCTTGGTACGATGGAAAGCCCAACCTCCTCCTAAACAGATGCAGCCAGGACTACTTATAACTTCCTTTTTCACCTTGCAGCTGAGCTCCCCTCCCACCAGCCCGCCTCTCGCTGCTTTCTGGGGTGCAGAACGCCACATGCTGCCATTACCCCCGGCCCCATTGCCGCTAGCAGAGCAGATTGAGAAAGCAACCTGTGGCATTCATTGAGAGCGATGCAACACTCTGCATATGTAGGCAGAGATATAGGGAGAGAGAGAGAGAAGGGGCTGAGCCAACCGGTTGCTGAGACACCGCAGCAAAACGGAGCACTGCTGGAAAGAGGAAGTGGAACCTCAGACTTCCGCTAGAGCTAGCAAAACTAAGCCACAAATGACACAGAGGCGGCTGGGTGGAAGCTGCCAGAGATGCTCTGCACCCCCTTTTTGACTTGAGAGCAGCTAGAAATCAAGAGAAAACTGTGGTCTCGGGGAGAAACTTCCAGGACCACCGGCCTCCTGACGGGCATTTCATCTGAAACATGCTTGAAGCAGCCGTCTTCGGTCCAAGGGTGCCCAGAGAGCGTTGGACTACAACTCCCATCATCCTCACCCATTGCTGATGATGGGAGTTGGAGTCCAATCACCTTTGGGAACCTCAGAAGAGCCGGGTGTGATTTGAGCAGCTGGCTGTACCAGAAGGCAGACCCTTTTGGCTGTCTGTGGGAAGGGAAGGGTCCCTTGCCCCATGCAGGGCTGCCACCCACCACCAGGACACAGCTTCAGTTCTAAGGGACCAGGCGAAGCTTCCTCTCCTACAGAAAATCACAAACAAGGGGCTTTCACACGGGAGTCAGAACCAAAAGCTATGGCAGTATCAGTCTGGCCTTGCCTAATATGAGGCTGGCAACCTCATGGCCACTAGGCAACTAAAGGGAACTTCTTCTTCCCCACTCCTGAATGTGGCACACAGCTGCTGGCAGTCAAAATGTGGTGGAAAAGGGCAAAAGGGGGAAGGGTGTGGTGGCGCAATAGCACGAATCAGGAGTACAGCGCGGGCAGAAGCAGTAAACCCAGAAAGAGGAAGGAATCCAGGGTCCCTGGGTCTTAGTGACCCAGTTCCTGGAAAGCACAATGGCCCGGGCAGCCTGCCCACATCTTCCCCACTTGCCCAGAGATGATTCAAGGCATTGGCTGGGCAGAGGGATGGGAAAGATTGCTGCCCGCAAGCTGCAGCCTTGGGAGGGAGGTTAAAGAGGGCAATTGAGGGCAGGGGGTAAGGGGGGCAAATGGATAAGCTGGCGCAGGGAGGCTCTTACAGGCTGCAGAAGATGGCTCAGGGAACAATAGCAGTTCATGTTTAGGATGAAGAGAAGGGGAAAGTGGTCGTAAGCCTGGAAGTGGAGGCGATTGGCTGGTTTCTCAGTGGCAGGAGGGACAAAGGACATACAAGCACCACCTGATTGGAGCCGCTCTCCTTCACATATAGCAAAGGCACAGTCCTGGTCCATCTACTGGGAGGGAGGGAGGAAGGGAAGTTGCCACAATCTGTTCCTACTCTCACCCCCTGTCTTCTGGCCCAACCCATTCCCAACCTTAAACGAGGCTCAATGTACAGGCAGGAGAAGAGCCATAAAAGCGAGGTTTGAGCAAACGAACACCAGGGAACCTAAAAAGAAATAAATTCACAAGGAAGCTTGGTTGCAGAGAGAAGGTATTTCCTGCAAAGGTTTCACGGTGGAGAGGTGTGTGTGTGTGTCTACATATATATGCACCTATCAATCTTGAGTCATCGCTACTGTAAGATCTAGTGGGTTAAGCCGGGGGTGGTTGAATCCTAACCCGGGCCAAAACCCTGCCAAAAATCCCCAAACACAACAAAAGAGGTGTTTTAAAACAGAACTCGAGGCAATGTAGAACATCCAGATTTTGGGTCTGGAATCAGACACACACACCACCCAGCTCAGATGTGCGTCTGATGACACCAAGATATGGTTTAGCTCATTCCTATCTCTCAAGCTAGCAGGGATTGAGGTAGCGGGGAAGAATTCAAACCTACGGGGTACACGTTTCAGAGATGCCAAAGCAGCTATGATCAGGTGCCCCCAATACAAACCTTTTTATTATTATTATTCCGGACATCAAACAAAAAACAGAAGTCATCAGAACTTTGGGAACAGACAGGAAAACAAACCAATAATGGAGCGTAAATTGGAATGGAGCTAAGGGAGCGCTCTCTTCGGCGGACGACGCAGCTCCCTCCCCAGCCCCTTCCTCAGCTCCTATAAATAAGTCAGATCTAGCTCACAGTGAAGAATGCAGTTGCTACAGAAACCACAGCTGGCTGCCAGAGGCGGAGGCATGGTTAACGGAACACAGCCTGGGAGATGAAGTGGACCCCTTGCCTGGTCTTCTAATGCCCGCGGTTGATCACGATGTCATCATATTCCTCCTGGGAATAATAATAATAATAATAATAATAATAATAATAATAGGCATTATTTATAACCTGCCCATCTGGCTGGGTTTCCCCAGCCACTCTGGGCAGCTTCCAACAAAGTATTAATAATTAATCAGATGTCAAAAGCTTCCCTGAACAGGGCTGCCTTCAGATGTCTTCTAAAAGTCTGGTAGTTGTTTTTCTCTTTGACATCTGGTGGGAGGGTGTTCCACAGGGCAGGTGCCACTACTGAGAAGGCCCTCTGCCTGGTTCCCTGTAACTTGGCTTCTTGCAGTGAGGAAACCGCCAGAAGGCCCTCGGCGCTGGACCTCAGTGTCCGGGCAGAACAATGGGGGTGGACACGCTCCTTAAAAGTCAGCACCAACACTTTGAATTGTGCTCGGAAACATACTGGGAGCCAATGTAGGACTTTCAAGACCGGTCCTACATATGATCTCAGCGGCCACTCCCAGTCACCAGTCTAGCTGCCACATTCTGGATTAGTTGTAGTTTCCAGGTCACCTTCAAAGGTAGCCCCACATAGAGCGCATTGCAGTAGTCCAAGCGGGCAATAACTAGAGCATGCACCACTCTGGTGAGACAGTCTGCTGGCAGATAGGGTCTCAGCCTGCGTACCAGATGGAGCTGGTAAACAGCTGCCCTGGACACAGAATTGACCTGTGCCTCCATGGACAGCTGTGAGTTCAGAATGACTCCCAGGCTGCGCACCTGGTCCTTCAGGGGCACAGTTACCCCATTCAGGGCCACGGAGTCCTCCACACCTGCCCACCTCCTGTCCCGCAAAACAGTACTTTTGTCTTGTCAGGATTCAACCTCAATCTGTTAGCTGCCATCCATCCTCCAACCGCCTCCAGACACTCACACAGGACCTTCACCACCTTCAGCTGGTTCTGATTTGAAAGAGAGGTAGAGCTGGGTGTCATCTGCATACTGATGAACATCCAGCCCAAACCCCCGATGATCTCTCCCAGTGGCTACATGTAGATGTTGAAAAGCATGGGGGAGAGGACAGAACCCTGAGGCACCCCACAAGTGAGAGCCCAGGGGTCTGAACACTCATCCCCCACCAAGCAAAACAGAGCAAAAACCAAAAAAGCAACATCCATTTTACTCCCGCAAACTCTGGGGGGCAAAGGTCACTATCACCGTTGAATTCACTGCCTGCCCTTCACCAGGGCAGGTTGCAGCAATTAAAATTCAGCATTTATAGCAGAGTGCGGTTACAGGAATAGGGGAGGGTCCTGAAAACCCACAGCCCAAGGGTCAAAGGCCAGGATTTAAAGAGCAGGGTTTTTAGCATTTGCCAAAAGCTGAATGACTGAAGGCACTCGGTGCATCTCTGTGGAGAAGGAATTCCACAACTTAGGGGCTACCACAGAGAAGGCCCTCTCCCTGGCCGCCTTGAACTTGCAATACAGGCAACTCCCCATTTACACGGGGGCTCTGTTCTGTGCAACCGCACATTTAAGTGAAATTGCATATATTGGGAACACCACTGGAAAAGCCTGCAAACACCACAATCGCTCCCTCCAAACTTCTTTGTTCAAACTCCAACTCTCCACCAACTTCAAAGGTTGGCGCAAGGGCTCCCTGGATTGCACTTGCAAAGGCTCGCAAGATTGCTCGGCGCTGGTTTTGCGCCATTTTTTATGTTTTCGCACGCTTTTAAGATCATTTTCACCTCTTTTCGTGCCAGAGTAGAAAGGTTTTTGGCAGGCGTTTAAAAGTTGGCACAAAAGGTGCCTGCTGAATCTCCCTTGACAGGGTGTTCACAGGACTGAGCCAAGGACTCAAAAGTTTGGGTACCTCCTCGTTGACAAATAAGCCTCGTTAACTTGGGGAACAACCACCAATGCTCCTGTAGATGATCTCAGTGATCAAGCTGGAGTGGAAGGGTTCAAGTCATCCTGGAGATATTCTGGGCCTAAGTTGCTCAGGGCTTGGTAAATTTATACAAGACTACAGAATTTAGACTTGCAGTTCCTGAAGTGGGTGGTATCACCCCCAGGGGGGCACTGGGATTACCTACAGGGGGCACTAAGAGACAATGGGGTAGCGGGGTGGGGTGGGGGTGGGAACTGGAAGTGTAAATGACTACCAGAAATGGAAAAGCTGGGCAAATGTCTGTGCGTCTTATGGAGCGAATGCGTGGTCCCTGGAGCCGAATTGCCCAGGGGTGAAAAGCAGACGATGTTTTATTTTTTTGAAAGAGGGAAGTGGGTGTTGAAACTTCTAACAGTGCTCACAGTGATAGCTGTGATAGCCCAAACTCACCTCGCTGTTGCTGTCCAAACTCTCCTCCGAGTCCCAGTCTGGCTCCTCTGAGCCAAACTCCCGCAAGAGCTGGGGGATCTTTTGGTCGGGCCGGTGCAAGGCGCTGTACATGGGGGTGTAGCCAACATACATGCGGGACTCCGGGTCCGCTCCAGCGCGCAGCAGGCACTCCACCACCTCTGGGTTCTGAGACTCCACTGCCAGGTGAAGAGGACTCCGCCCACAGCTCAGCTCCTGCCGGCAAGACGGGAGAAGGTGAAGGGGACGCGCAGAGCCTTGTGCTGGAAGCTCTGGGGTTGGCAAGTACGTTGGGAGCCATGGATCTGCCCCAGCTGAGCCACTAACTGCTTTTGACCTTTAAAGCCCTTCACGGCCTAGGACCCTCGTACCTACGGGACCGCCTCTCCCGGTATGCCCCATGGAGAGCCTCAAGGTCCATAAATAGCAATACCCTAGAGGTCCCGGGCCCTAAGGAAGTTAGATTAGCTTCAACCAGAGCCAGGGCCTTTTCAACACTGGCCCCAGCCTGGTGGAACGCTCTGCCTCATGAGACCAGGGCCCTGCAGGATCTGATTTCTTTCCACAGGGTCTGTAAGACAGAGTTGTTCCGCCTGGCCTTTGGCTTGGAGCCAATTTGATTCCCTCCCCCTCTTTCTTTTTCCTTTCTCCTCCTGTGATGAGGCTGCCTTTTAATATTTCAATATTTTAATTGTTGTATTTTAATCTTGTTTTTAAGTTGTAGTCATTCAACTTGTTTTTATTACTGCTTGTTAGCCGCCCTGAGCCCGGCCTTGGCTGGAGAGGGCGGGGTATAAATAAAAATTATTATTATTATTATTATTATTATTATTATTATTATTATTATTATTATGTAGTCCAGCCTTTGCTGGGGCTGCTGGGAGTTGTAGTCAGAGGCAGCTGGGAGGCACCAGGCGAGCAAAAGGAGCACTGGAGTGTCACTGACCGCTTCCTGAAAGGAAGGGCAGTCACAAAGGGGAAGAGGTGGTGCTAAAGGGGCGAAGCTCACACAGACAAAAATCAGAGGTAAGGACACTCATGTCAGATCAGACCTAGTCCAGCATCCTGGCTTCACAGGGGACAACCAGAGAGAGGCCTGTGGGAAACCCATAAGCAGGATTTAAGCACAAGAACCAGCATAGGTAACAGCCACTGGTAAACCTTGTTAGGATATTTCCGTTCCACCTTAAAAGGGAGCAGGATGTTTGCGTCACAGCCTGCGTATTTCCTGTTTCACAGGATGTCACTGTTGTGTCTATGCTTTCGTTTCTCTCTCTGTGCCTGAATACTGAAGCAGGCAGTCACGATGTGTTCTTTGTTCTGACCAACGCTGAATAAACGTAAATAATGCTCTCCTGGGTGCATCTTTCGCTGCGCATTATCTGCTGATAAGAGTGTGCATCAGTTCTGGAATGTGGCAAGTAATTTCTGGAGCTCATGTCGCTAATTGATTGATACTGCGTTTCTACGAGAGATCGATGGGTCGTCCGGAGACGGCATGGGGCTTGATGGATGATGTCTCCCTGGCAGTATCCCAACAAACCTCTCCTCCATGAATTTATCTAATCTTCTAAAGCCTCTTTTTAAAGTGTTTCTTCTTATCCCACTGCTGCTAATTCACAGGGTGAATTAATTCAACACGCTTCTTAAAGGTGCTGGTGGGGGAAGGATGATGATGAAGAAGAAGAGAGTTTGGATTTGATATCCCGCTTTATCACTACCCTAAGGAGTCTCAAAGCGGCTAACATTCTCCTCTCCCTTCCTCCCCCACAACAAACACTGTAAGGTGAGTGGGGCTGAGAGACTTCAGAGGAGTGTGACTGGCCCAAGGTCACCCAGCAGCTGCATGTGGAGGAGCGGAGACGTGAACCCGGTTCACCAGATTACGAGTCCACCGCTCTTAACCACTACACCACACTGGATGACTTTGTGTTGTTACACAGAGGGTTCCTTTTCAAGTGTACGGGGAAAACAGCATGCATACCTCCTGCAGGATAATCACCTATGTGTGTCTACTTCACCACCGCCTCTGAAACTAACCGGTTTGTTGAGATCAGCTCCCCCGGAGATTAAGAGACTGACCACGTCCAAGTCTTTCCGCAAGACGGCAACATGCAGGGGCGTGTAACCTACGGAAAGAGAGATGGGACACAGTTCTGCGGCAGCCCGGGCACTGAGGTGGAGAAACCACCTTGTGTAACACAAATTTATAATCACCACCACCACCACCACCACAAAACGGCAAGTGGAAATCCCAAATTAAGAAATGATATGGATTAGAATTTGGTTCCCAAGCAAAGGGAAAAACTGAGGTAGGCGCTGCAGTAAGAGGAAGGAACAGCGCAATCTTGAAAAGGAACAAAAGAAGATGGGGAAAAGTGGAAAATGGGCAGACGTGTATAACGCAAAAGTATGCGAAGCTCGCAAATCCTCAACCACAAGTGGTGGAAAACGAATCCATTCCACTTTAACTGCCTGCCAACTTCTAAGTCTGATATTTTAAATATTAAAAGTTTGGAAGATCCTTGCTGACGATACTCACAAGGACTGGAAACTTTTGGCATTTTAAACCTGCTCTTCGCTAGACCCTACTGTCTCCATATTATGGAGGACTTCAACGAGACCAAGCAACAATTTCCCCCAGAGCACCCAGGAGAGGTACCATCGAAATTGGTGCAGTCCAGTTGGGCCCGAAAGCCGCTGCCTTCGCAGGGCCTTTGCGCAACATGCGGCGCCAGGAGGACCTGCACGCACTCCCGCTGCCCTTCTCGGCACGCCAAGTGCAAAGCGGTGTGGCCGCCCTTTTCCTGCACGCAGAGACCGGCTCCCGCCGACACGAGCTTGCCCACAAAATCGGCAGCCCCCAGGATGACCGCGATGTGAAGTGCTGTCTGGGGAAGAGAAAACGAGAAAGAGCTTGAGTTCGAGAAGAGCCACTTGCATAATAATAACAACAACAACAATAATAATAATAAATTTTATTTATATCCTGCCCTCCCCAGCCGAAGTTGGGCTCAGAGCGGCTAACATCAAATGTATAATACATTAGCATAAAATCAGACAATCAATTAAAACACATCCTCAAATCAGATCATGATCAGAATAAAATCCAATCGGATGGCAACCCACAGATTAGGGTTGGGGACCTTAAATGCTCACCAGGCCCAACTGTTTGTGCTGAACTTATATGGGCCTATGAGAAAATGCCCCTCGCTCCTGGGATGACAAGGCAGAGGAGGGGAACTTGTGGCCTTCCAGATGTCATCATCTTAAGCATTTTCAGGAACTATACAACGGGTTGGTTTTAACATTGACGGTCTTATACGGACTCGGGGAAGAGGAATCGGAGCGACCTCTTGCTCCCCTATGAACCTGTGCATGCGCCAGAGGCCCTTCCTCATCATGAGTGAAAAGGCAATAAGTTCAGGGGTAGAGAACCTGCCTTGCAAGCAGGCAGTTCCAGGTTTAATCTCCAGGTAGGGTTGGGAGAGAATCTTGCCTGAAATCCTGGTGAGTTGCTGCCAGCCAGTATTGTATTATTATTATTATTATTATTATTATTATTATTATTATCATTTACCGTATTTTTTGCTCTATAAGACCCACTTTTTCCCTCCTAAAAAGTAAGGGGAAATGTGTGTGCGTCTTAATGGAGCGAATGCAGGCTGCGCAGCTATCCCAGAAGTCAGAACAGCAAGAGGGATTGCTGCTTTCACTGCACAGCGATCCCTCTTGCTGTTCTGGCTTCTGAGATTCAGAATATTTTTTTTCTTGTTTTCCTCCTCCAAAAACTAGGTGCGTCTTGTGGTCTGGTGCGTCTTATAGAGCAGAAAATACGGTACATTTATATACCAAGGATCTCAAGGTGCTGTACATTATTCTCCTATCTGTTTCATCCTCACAATAACCCTGTGAGGTAGGCGAGTCTAAGAGATGGTGACTGGCCCTGGGTCACCCAATGAGCTTCTTGGCTACGTGGGAATCCTCCCAAGGTCATAGTCCAGCACTCTAACCATTACACCACACTGACAATACTGAGCTAGATCAGGCATAGGCAAACTCAGCCCTCCAGATCTTTGGGACTACAACTCCCATCATCCCAGACCACTGGTCCTGTTAGCTAGGGATGATGGGAGTTGTAGTCCCAAAACACCTGGAGGGCCGAGTTTGCCTATGCCTGAGCTAGATGGACCAAAGATCTGAGTCAGTATAGGGTAGTTCTTATGTTCCTAAGAATTTCTCCTTTTAAGGGTGGAACAAATGCTACCCTGGGAGGAGAGGTGGTTCTACTGCTTTTGTTTTGTTAAGTTTTAGGTTGCTGGTGAAGACTTTGATTTCATTTGCTGTTTTACTGCTCCTCTGTGCTTTAAGACTTATTTTTTAAAAATGCCTTCCTTTGCTTTTTTTTACGATTTCCAACCTTGTTTTCAATGAATGCCGCCTTGGAATTTTCTAACTTAAAAGTTCCAAAGTAGGTTTCTAAGTCTGCATAATTACGCAGACTGTTGTTCTTGTGGCTCCTCCCGATGCGCGTTACGAATGTCGGGAAACTGAGGCTCACATCGGAGCAGAGCAAAAGTGTGTCTCAATCCAACCTGTCCAAGGTCATTCTGAATATCCAGGTAATCCGTCCCTTGGGTGTACTGCAGGATGGAATCCAGAAAGGCCTCGTGCTCGTGGATGACGGCCAAGTGGAGAGCTCTGGAAACAACAGGAAATAACAAGAGGCTGCTGAGAGGGGCAAAAGTCTCTTATTGCTTAGGGGAAAAACCACAACATTTTCCAACACAGACGGGGAATACAAAACAAGGAGATCTCAAGCGGCTGCAGCTTTCTATTATTTTGTGGCTGTCCAGAGTTTTCAAAAAGAGGACTGTATTAGAAGAAACTGTTCTCCAACTCAGAAGATGTTTAGAAACTTAAAGAATAAATAAATAGCAACTTTACCTTACATGTCGTTGCTTGAATTAAGGCCAAATGTGCGCATAGGATTAGTATCTGAGTTCTCACTTGTGTTATTTTAGAAATAGGCAGAGTATCGCCAACGGAACAGTCAGTGCTCATAAAAGGGCACTTTGCAGGGTTACCGCCCCCCCCCCGGCAAAAAAAACAACAACACCCCAGAAAAGGACATAGTAGTTACTGGCTTGCATGGGATCTGATCAGGCCTAGTTGAGTCTTTGTTCTAATTTTGAGATTTAAATAAGCCCACAAAAAGTCGTAGTCAACTAATTAGTTTACTATCCAGCTCCTCCATGGCAATTAACAGGGAGTCAGCGGATTAGTTTACTATCCAGTTCTGAAGTCACCTGCTTCCTCCTCAGTGACCTCCTCAGTGACCAGCATGCAAAATGAAATACCAGCCACTTAGCAGCCTGGTAAAAAACAAAACACTCCACTCTTTTTCCAAACACGGTGTGGGGATGAGGCAGAGCTTATTCCAAAGTAAGCACGGAAACCCAGCGAACAGGCAGAGACAGAATGGAGAGCATTCCTCCACCAGCCCATCCATTCACCTGCACAGAACTCCTGTCACCTGATTAGGCGTACCAGGTGTGTTTTTATATAAAAAGCTGTTCTAGCACAGAGCTTATGTTTCAAGATGCACTGACATCTCTGTGCAAATGCAAAAGCAGCAAGAAATGATCTGGTGAAGGAGTCGATCACAGCAGATAGTTCCCGTCAGCAGAGCAAAAAAGAGCAGGCCAGAAGGCAGCTCCTGAACCACAACAGATGGAAGAAGCCTCATCAGCCACTGGTGCCTGTAGTGGTGGTCGGAATAGGCGGCCACTACAGGCACAGGGAGGCTCCTGAGCAAAAAAAGACCAAATCCTCATTCACGAGCAGGCAGATCGAAACCAGTATGCCCAGGCTCAGCAGAGTTTGGTGCTCAGGTACAGCCACTGCGGACCCAAGGCAGACAGGGAAACTCTGCAGCTCCGTGCCCCTATTATGAGAAAGACTTCTGGTGCCGGTTTCCTTCCGACACAGTACAGTGGTACCTCGGGTTAAGTACTTAATTCATTGCGGAGGTCCGTTCTTAACCTGAAACTGTTCTTAACCTGAAGCACCACTTTAGCTAATGGGGCCTCCTGCTGCCGCTGCTGCATGATTTCTGTTCTCATCCTGAAGCAAATTTCTCAACCCGAGGTAATATTTCTGGGTTAGCGAAGTCTGTAACCTGAAGCGTATGTAACCCGAGGTACCACTGTACCTATATTTATCTACAGTGGTACCTCGGGTTAAGAACTTAATTTGTTCTGGAGGTCCGTTCTTAACCTGAAACTGTTCTTAACCTGAAGCACCACTTTAGCTAATGGGGCCTCCCGCTGCTGCCGCCGCACCATTGCTGCACGATTTCTGTTCTCATCCTGAAGCAAAGTTCTCAACCCGAGGTAATATTTCTGGGTTAGCGGACTCTGTAACCTGAAGCGTATGCAACCTGACGTGTATGTAACCCGAGGTACCACTGTACCTATATCTATCTACAGTGGTACCTCGGGTTAAGAACATAATTCGCTAATGGGGCCTCCTGCTGCCGCTGCTGCACGATTTCTGTTCTCATCCTGAAGCAAAGTTCTGAACCCGAGGTACTATTTCTGGGTTGGCGGAGTCTGTAACCTGAAGCGTCTGTAACCCGAGGTACCACTGTACGTACGTGTCCCCGTCCTCGGTGACGAAGCCCAGCACGTGGTGCAGCCAGGCCTCGGGGGCCACCACCGCCGAGGCCCCGTTCTCCAGGCGCACAGCCCCCACGCCGTCCACGATGGTGCCCACGTCCTCGTCTCCCCTCAGGGAGTCCCCGAGGGCAGAGTCCAGCCGCTCCAGGTCATCCTCCTCTTCCTCCGAGAGCGCCTTCTGAGGGCCGGTGGGGCCCGAGGGGCCGGGGTCAGGGGTCAGGGCCCGGCGCCCAGGCCCCTCCTCCCCCTCGCCAGGGCCCACCAGGCCCGCGTCCCCCTGGATCTGGCCCAGCTGGGCCTCGCTGAGGGAGCCCAGGCCGCTGTCGCACCAGTCGTCGCCTTCCACCCGCTTGGGCTCCCGCGGGCCGCCCTGAGCAGCAGCTTCGGAGGCCATGGCGGGGGAGAGAGCCTACAGGAAAGGCCTGGAGGGCCGCAGGGCCATAGGGAGAGTCCGGGCAGAGCGACCCGCTGCCCCGCCGTCGCTCCTGCCTCAGCGGGGGAATTTCATCGGCCGGGGGAATCCCCAGACTGGCGTCTGGTCGGCGCAGTCGCACAGAGGCATGCCGGGAGTCGTAGTTCTTTCCCCTTTCCCGCGGAGCATGCCGGGAGCTGTGGTCCCGGGCCTCTCAGCATCCGGGTCACTCGTCCCAATTCAAAGAGTTTGGCTCTCTCGCAAGGCACGTCGGGAGCGGTAGTTCCCATGGGCAGTTTCTCTTTCTCCCCTTTGTTTTTAACCACCTATTCTTCACACAAGGACGCTATTTGAAGTTTGAAGACGCAAAAAAAAGCAGTTTGAAGACGCAAAAAAAGCAATTCCCCCCCTCAGCGACCCATTTTTAACGTTACTTGCCGGCGCCGCAGGGCATGCCGGGATTCCCCCTCTCGCTCCTCGGCGGCGACGGTTGAAAACAACACCAACCAGCCTTTCCCGGTGCATGCTGGGAGCCTGGCTGGAGATTGGCTGCCGCGCCGCGGTGCCTCCTGGGGGTTGAAGTTCTCCTGTCAGGGGACCCGACAGCGGCTCCATGGACAGCCGGGAAGGTAGCCTGTTGTGAGGGGGTTGGTTGGGGTGCGGGAGACGGAGCCCCGCACCGCTGAAGTAACCGCCGCCGCCGCCTCTTCCTCCTCCTCACACTCCCCCTTTGTTGTGTCTTTTCCTGTCACAGAGCCCGGAGCCGCCTCCGCTGCCGCCGGGGAGGACGAAGAAGAGGCCGAGGCCGAGAAGGGCCCTGCCTCGTCGGTGAGAAGCTGGCAAAGGAAAAGGGAATTGGGGGGAGGTGGGGGTCCCTCTCGCGTATCTCCCATGGGGGGGGAGGTCTGGTCTGACCCCTCCCCCCGGGCCTGCCAGGCAGAGGTTCAACAGGCAAAGCCTCTGCCCCTCCCCTCCCTTCCTCCTGCCTTTGTTGTTGTTTAGTCGTGTCCCACTCTTCGTGACCCCCTGGACCAGAGCACGCCAGGCACTCCTGTCTTCCACTGCCTCCCGCAGTTTGCTTTTTTCCCCTTCTTTTTTTTCTTTTTGGAAATAATATTTACAGTGGTGCCTCGCAAGACGAAATTAATTCGTTCCGCAAGTTTTTTCTTCTTGCGAGTTTTTCGTCTTGCGAAGCACGGTTTTTCCATAGGAATGCATTGAAAATCAATCAATGCGTTCCTATGGAGACCATCCGGGGACAGGGGAAGCGCCGTGCGCCTTCCCCTCTGTCCCCGGACCTGTTTTAAAGCAAGGGGCGGAGGGGAGAAGATCGCTTCTCCCCGTTGCCGCCCCTTGGTTCAAAAGGGGTCCGGGGTTCAAAAGCAAGGGACGGAGGGGAGAAGATCGCTTCTCCCCGTTGCGCGCGCCTTCCCCTCTGTCCCCGGAGATTGCGGGGCTGGCAACGGGGAGAAGCGATCTTCTCCCCGCCGCCCCTTGCTTCAAAAGAGGTCCGGGGACAGCGGGGAAGACGCGCTGCGCTTCCCCGCTATCCCCGGAGATTGCGGGGCAAGCTTCGTTTTGCGAAGCAAGCCCATAGGGAAATGCGTCTTGCAAAGCGGCTAAGAAAACGAAAAACTCCTTCGTCTAGCGAGTTTTTCGTCTTCCGAGGCGTTTGTCTTGCGGGGTACCACTGTATTACTTTTCCAACAATTTAAAAACTACAAAAGAAAACACTACAAAAGAAAAAGAAAAGAACAATACAATACAATACAATACAATACAAAGACACTACATAACACATCAAGCTAACAAAACGAAACAAAAACAGTTTAAAATACATCAAACAATTTCAATATCTTATCTTTCATTCACTTATTTCAACGACCTCCTCACACCCCCCTTTTTGTATTCCACTTCTGTTAATTGTTTCAGCAATTCCTTTCCATCTTCCTCTGTTTTCTATCCTATAATTATCTTAACACATTCTAACCTTATTTTTTCCTTTAATATTCTATTAATCTATTTATACTTAATTCCTTATAACACTTCTACTAAAGCCATGTAGCTTTATTCCAACAGTCTTCTAACATTCATTAATTTTACAGTATTTCAGTAAATAATCTTTAAACTTTTTCCAGTCTTCTTCCACCGACTCTTCTCCCTGGTCTCGGATTCTGCCAGTCATTTCCGCCAGTTCCATATAGTCCATCAACTTCATCTGCCATCACTGCCTCCCGCAGTTTGGTCAAACTCATGTTTGTAGCTTCGAGAACACTGTCCCACCATCTCGTCCTCCGTCGTCCCCTTCTCCTTGTGCCCTCCATCTTTCCCAACATCAGGGTCTTTTCCAGGGAGTCTTCTCTTCTCATGAGGTGGCCAAAGTCTTGGAGCCTCAGCTTCAGGATCTGTCCTTCCAGTGAGCACTCAGGGCTGATTTCCTTCAGAATGGATAGGTTTTACCTTCTCGCAGTCCATGGGACTCTCAAGAGTCTCCTCCAGCACCGTAATTCAAAAGCATCCATTCTTCGGCGATCAGCCTTTATGGTCCAGCTTTCACTTCCATACATCACTACTGGGAAAACCATGGCTTTAACTATACGGACCTTTGTTGGCAAGGTGATGTCTCTGCATTTTAAGATGCTGTCTAGGTTTGTCCCAAGAAGCAGCCTCCTGCCTTGACCAAAGTCTATTTTTCGCCTTTCTCTTTCTGCGCTTTCAAGTTGATCAAAAGAACCACGCATTTCTCAGGAGGCATTCGAAGGCAGCCCCATTGCAGGGGAAGCTTTTAAATGTTTGACGTTTGGTTACGCCCAGAGCATAGCTGTCAACTTTTCCCTTTTCTTGCGAGGAATCCTATTCGGAATAAGATGTATCCTTATGAGGCTTTGCCCTCGGGTGGGGAAAAGTATTGCACCCGGGAAAGGGAAATGGGAGTCAACAGACACTCAAGGAATAGTTTTAGAGAAAAAGCTTTATTTCTACCATCCATGAACTGGTAGAAGGAGCAAGGGTGATAGATTCACAAAACAAGCACGAGTTCACAGCCATGTGCACAGAGTATATATTCCCCTTCCAGTTCCCTCCCCTTTCTCCTCCTCCTCTAGAGTCCTGCCTCATGAGTTCCCCTGAGCATGAACAGAAAGCTCCTGTCTTGGGACTCTTGTGGACTCTTGGCACCCAGGAAAGGGGGTCGAGGAGCCTTGTGGTTCTGCATGTCCAAGAGGTTGCAACTGAATGAGATAAAAGTCAGTTCTCAGGCTTGCTTTGAACAGAGCCTATTAGCTTTTTGAAGCCTTCTCGTGCTGATAAAAGTAACAATTTGCCTTTGCCACAGCATCTTGTGAGAAAGCAGAGGAAAACTATAGCTGTGGATTTTTAGAAGACAGAAAAGGAATTCTGGACAGTTTTGAGGCCTAGGTGACTTCAGGCCTAGGTGGGGCACCTGTCCTCACCTCCTTCACTATGGCCCAGACTGGCTAGGGAAACCCAGCCAGATGGGTGTGGGGGGTATAAATAATAAACTTATTATTATTATTATTATTACTCATACAGTAGAATCGTAGAGTTGGAAGGGTCATCTTCTGACATGATTGAGGGTCACAGAGCCAGAGACTAATGTGGAGGATAAAATCATGATTTGGAATTACGAAAACATAAGACATAGGACTATGATGTGGAAAACGCTTTGGAATTCAGACCGTAGGAAGTAAAAAAATTAAGATTACTATTTGGAAGACAATTGGACTTTATTATTATTATTTTTATTGGATTTGATTTGATATGTTAATTGGATGTTCTTCTTGGAAAATTAATAAACACTTTTTTTTAAAAAAAAAGGAAGGGTCGTCTAGGGTCGTGCAAGGGAGGCCTTTTCCCACAGCTGGGCCAATGGTGAGCTGGTGAGCACCTGCCAGTTGATGGGACCGGCCACTCTGGGCGGCTCCCAACAGAATACTAAAAACACGATAAAACATCGAACATTAAAAACTTCCCTAAACAAACTTCCCTAAGAAAGAACTTGGTTTGATCCAGCACAACACTTTCTGTGTTATTTGATTCACATTTTAAGAATTACGTAGCGCAGATGGGTTATGCCTTGACTGTTAGAGATCCCAAGAAGGAACAACTGGTTTGTAAATTTAATATATGACATTGTAGGAGAAGGAATCGTAAGAGCTGGATGGTATCACCAAGGGTCATCTTGTCCAACCCCCTGCAATGCAGGAATCTCAGCTAAAGCATCCATGGCAGATGGCCACCCAACCTCTGCTTAAAAACCTCCAAGGTAGGAGAATCCACATCCTCCCCGAGGGAGACCGTTCCAAGCCCTCTCTTCAGCGCTCGGTCGGAGCAAACGTCAGTTGGGGTTTCCAGCAGGTCACTGTTTGGTCTGATTCAGCTTTAAAGAGTGGGTTTTCACGGGGAAAGCTCCAGAGCGAAAAAGAAAAAAGAAAGCACTTGGACCCAGAGATTTAAAGCACAGAGGATCATGCCTGGAAAGATTGGAGGAAAGGCAGGCGTGGATAAGTCCTCATAATTTCACCTTTCGGAATTTTAATTACTGTTAGGTGGCTGTGGCCACTGTGTTCTCTGTAGATCCATGGTGAAGAGATTTCATATGTCAGAAAGAAGTGAGCAAGTGAACTGTTAATTGCCATGGAGGAGCAATAGGTAGTGAGGTTCAGTTATGCAATGGTAGATTTAGGTTAAACAATAAAACAAACTTCTCAGTAGCTTAGGAACAACATTTTCCAACTTAATTCACCTTTCCTTCCTATTTTTTTTATACAGGATTCAGATTCTGATAACGAAGCCGGAGCTTCTGGTGAAACTGAAAGTAGGTGTCCCATTTGAGGGGCTCCTACGTATGGGTTTGGGCCTGTGGGGGTGGAAGTTTACATCAGTGATGCAGTCAACCACAACGTACTGTATACAAAATAAAGCCCACGGATACCTGCATAAATTTGAAAATGTACTGTCATTATCTCACCTTGACTTGTGTAACTTTCTGGCTAAGGATGCCATTCTAACCCTACTTATCTGGGAGTAAGCCCCATTGACTTCAGTAGCTTACATCTGAGTAGACCTGGCTAGGGTTGTGCTGTAATATCTATTTTCACTTAAGTACATGAGTTTTTCCTTCAGAGCAGCCTGTGGTTCATTCTTTTGACTATAGTTGCAGACTGGAAGCAATGTATTTTTAGGCACTTGGAATTTCAGCCGTCAGGTTAGCAGTGCACGTTCCTTCCCATATCTGATAACTCATGAGTAAAATCAGCTACCAAGGAGACCCTTTCAAGTTCCTAAAAACCCTTCTGTATTTAAAGCTTTTTTTTCAGAAAGGTGTGGAGCTGACCCTATGATTAAGCAATCATTGGGCAACCTTGGGCAGCAAATTGGTC